ATTTATTATTTACAATACATTCATACCTTTCGACATCGTCAATATGCATTTTAATTATACAAAATCGTAAAATCTACCTACCGAAAACGATTATTTCTAGCGATTATGCTGCATTATAATGCCGTACGTATTATATTATATAATATTAATATTATATATAATATTGATTTTTTATATTTGTATCGAATTTATTGTATTTCGAAATATAATTTTTATAAATAATATTTTAAAAATAAATAAATATCGAAAAAATCAAATTTTATAATAATTGTTAATTAGTTTATAAAAATATTTCCGTCCACTAACTCTACCGGAATATTACCTCACATTTCTATTCTTTATCAAGCCGATAAAAAATAAAAAATAAAAAATAATAACCTTCGATAAACCTTTCTCGAAAAAAAATACTTTCGCGAATCTTTCGCAAATAATTCTAACAACATCTAAAGAACTATTTTATATAAAATTCCTTACACGAAATTTTCGATCAACTTCCATATAATATTTATATAAATCTCGAAATACCCATCTCGAAACAAACACAATACTAAATAAACATCGAAATACAAATTTCATAACACATATAACATTTAATAAACCTCGATAAACAAATTTCGTAACAAACACATCAATTAGTAGACCTTAATATGCAAATTTCGTAATAAATACTTTATATTCTTTTAAATGTTCATTTTCATTCTTTCACTTTCACTCATACATACATACTCACATTCACATTTCACTTACACTTACATTCACACTCACACTCTCTCCCACTCGCACTCACACTCACTCACTCTCACTCACACTCACTCTCCACTCACTCTCACTCACACTCGCTCTCACTCACACTCACTCTCACTCACACTCGCTCTCACTCTCACTCACACTCACCCACTCTCCCACTCTCCCACTCACACTCTCACTCTCCCCCGTTCACTCGCACTCACACTCGCTCTCTCACACTCACCCACACTCGCACTCACATTCACTCTCACTCTCACCCATGCTCACTCACCTTCACTCTCACTCACACTCACTCTCACCCACACTCGCTTTCACTCACACTCATTCTCACTCACACTCACTCTCACTCACACTCGCACTCGCACTCACACTCGCACTCACTCACTCACCCACACTCACTCTCACCCACACACTCTCACTCTCACTCACACTCACTCACTCTCCCACTCTCACTCACACTCACACTCCCTCACACTGTAACTGTAACTCTCCCACTCTCGCTCGCACTCACACTCCCTCATACTCTCACTCTCACCGACCCTCACTCTCACCCACACTCACTCACCACCACCGCCGCCGTCACCACGATCCCCACCTTGATCACCACCATCAATTGTCTGGACCCCAATGTGTCTAGATCTTTAGACTTTCTGCTTATAGACCTCACACACACGCACTGTTTGGGGTCTCTTGCCGGGATAATAATCATTCAGTTCCAATTATTTCCCACCATTCCTCATTTAAATTTATCCTATAAATATTGCTAAATATTTCAATAATATTAACAATATCAATTTACACAATTTAATCAATTATGTGTTGTTATTTATTCAATCCTTTATATTAATTTTATTGATTTAATTGATGACATAATTCGTTCAATATCAATGGGAAGAATTCCATTGCCCTGAATGCATCTTCACGGGACAAACATAAATGATCATAAATGATTAGATTATCGTTAAATGATTTTGAAAAATCTTGCAGCATGTAATAATGTAATAGAAATTTGATTCCTTTCAAAGACAAAGCAAACACATGCGGCAGATCGTGGTTCGAACAAGTGAATTTCCTCCTGACAGCCTAAGATGCAAGATCTAAAGAGACCAAGACCTCCAAAACACAAACATGTCTCTTTCCAATGCCATCTGCCAAGATTCCATCATCTGCCGTCTCTCCCTTTCCGCCATCTGCCGTGCCTCGAGGATCTCCTGTATGGTCTCAAAGAGGTCCTCGGAAAAATCATCGGCGTCCGTGACCATGGCACTCAAGTACTCCACGATCTCCGACTGGTGTCTGCTTGGAGATTTCTTCGATGTCACGGGAGTCTAGCGACCCGCCTTGCTGCAGTTGCAGGGCTTTCATAAGTGCTCAATGAATGTTATTAGGAGAGACATAGTGTGTTATAGCATGGGACACCTTGAATGAGCTCCCTAACCCTAATTGGACTGGACATCGAAATCACCTGAATGGGACTCCTTTTTATGCGAACTATTTAGAGAGCCATATCTCCGATGACTGCCATGGGAAAGACCAGCATCCACTTCCATGTGAGTATATGGAAATTCCCACGCGAAAACAGTTCATTGCTTCAGAATGCATGTCAATGTGTCCAGCCAACGTGTAAAATACGCGTGGCATTCGCAGTGTTTCGTGCACGTCCCACGGATATATGGAAATTCTCAAACGAACACGCCCTGGTTGCTCACATTGCATGTGAGAGTCTCATGCCAACGTGTAAAGTACGTGGCAGGCACAGTGTTTCGTGCAATTCCGAGAGGTACCGATTGCGAAGTGCGCTTCCACTGACAGGCATGGTAAAAAGAGCACCTGAACTCGCAGGGCGCCAGTGTGCAAACGCGGGTCATTTACATGCCCGCGGAGCCTCAAACAAATAAGAAATCCAAATCACCTTCAATACTATGGACATCTCGGCCTTCAATTAATCTTGGAATATGTCCCAGCCACACCAATCCACTTAAGGACAATGATCAGGGACCTGAAAAACTTGTGGTTGATCTCTTTGCATCCCTCTTGAAACTTTGCTTCCAGGGTGTGTTCGAGCGACCATCAACAGCATCCTCCCATTTTCCATCATCAAATCTGTTGAAATTCATAAAACACTGACTTAAATCCATCACTTCAATCTCGCACAATCAGCGCCCCTAAGCGAGGCTGCAAAGAACGCAGGAGCTCCTCGAACCTCACAAGGCTGGAGAATGGTGCTTGGTCATCTCATGTGATCTCAGAGTTTCTCTTTCAAAGGGAGCGGGTGCAGCTCAAGGAAATTTGGGATACTTTGCATAAGCCATGTGAACATGCAGAAGTGGTCTGATAGGTTTCATATCTTGGTGCCCGAAGTCCCTTCGGAGACGCATCTGCTCCAGTGGTGATCTTTCGAAGTAGCAAAGTACCTGACACATGGCCTGCCACCTGTTGCATGCGGCTTCCTTGGGCTAACACTGGAAGTGTTGCAGATCCAAATATGCTGGGCACTGTTGACAAACAATACCCTGCACTACTTTGCACCCACTGCGATGTTCTCAGGATAGTCGATCCAGGTAACAACTGCATTTGAATCGACTGTATATGCTTCCATCAACATGCAGAGCCTCCTTTTGCCTCTCACAGCAAGCACGTGTCACCATTGATCTGCTCAACTTTCAATCGCTTGTGGTCAGCTAACGCTTTCGCATATTTCAGATCATAGTAATTTAGGCTCACCGAAGAGAGGATGGTCCAACATGGTCCAACTACATCCTGTGAGGCAGCGGCTGCTCCTCTGAACCCTCTCCCATTCAACGAAAGGTCTGGAGACAGAACTTGGCCAATGGATGAGGAAGGTCGTCTGTTCAGTTCTTGTTGTTTTGCATACAAACAATAACTTAACTTATCGAACGTCTTTGAGGCAGGATCACTTCCGCCTTGCTTCCTGTGTCTCAGTTGGAATGTAATCCAAAATCAACCGCCGTGGACGCATCAAGGAACCATGTTCGCTACGAACGGGGCTCCTGGCCTTACTACGAACGGAGCGATCGGACGCCTAACGTTCGGGGCTCCTGGCATCGCTACGAACGGCGCATTCTTGCTCAACCCACAGCCCCCGCCCCCCTGGCCCTGCGATCCCACGCCTCGGCTCCGACCGTGCGCTCGAGGACGTCGCGGTCGGCGAGGGAGCTGTGGGAGCTGTGGCGGCTCCAGGAGTGAGCAACTGAGCCTTGGGACCTGGCAGAGACAGGAAGATGGCTGGTCGAACACCAAGGTGTCTTGACCGAGTCGTACGTGTTGACATGTTGCAACCCACTCTTGATATATGTGTATAGCCTGTATAGCACGATATTATAGTATGCGTTTCTGCGCTTTCGGATTGCAGGAAATCAGAGTTGGACCAAAAAACAGAGTCTGCATGCACTGCACCTTCCGGTTCCCTGCTTCATCTGTGGCTTCGGCACCGAGCTGGCTCCGTGGGATGTCACGAGGAGCCGCAGCCGGCCGCCCTCCAGCCCGGGCAAACCACTTTGGCCCTCACACAGGTGGATAGGTTTGCAAGTTAGTATCACTATGCATCACTGGCAAAGCTCTCAGCTGCCCTCTAGGCGCTAGTGCCCACTTAAATCATCTGGATGGCCATCATGGCTGCCCGTGCCGTTAAAAGTAGTAGATGCCTGCCTCATCTGTGGCAATCGCCTGCTTCACAATGTCCCGGGGTGAGACGCTTGTTGCAGTCGAGCAAAGGTGCTTCATGGTGCTTCTGTAGTGTGCCCAAAATGGGCGCCAGTTGGCAGTCTCTGTTATGGGTGCCGGCTTTCTACATGAAAGGCTTCACCTGCCAAAAGAGCGGGGTGCCAGTCCGCCCTGCAAACCTGTTGCCCCATTCCGCGAGCTCGGCTCTGTGGGATGTCGTCCGTGGAATTTCTTCACGCCACACGTCGTGTTTGGAGGGCGCTCCCAGCGACGTGATCGGCCACATGTGACTGGCCGAAGCCCCCAGTCGGCGCTGTTTCAAGCTCGGTTCGGCGTTGACCAGATCATGTTTGCAGAAGCCAATCCTGAGATCTGATCTCCGGATGGATGTGAAGCAAGCAAATTGGGGAGACGATTCTCTGACCCAACGCAGGCGGTCCAAAACCTGCCAGTGGGAGAAGGTCTGCGATGCTCGACTTGGATGACACCTGATGACTGAGTGTTGGCTTGCCGCAAGAAGTCTCTTGCGGGGAGACATGGAAATTCTGGGGGATTGTAAACAAGAGATGAAACGAACAGCTAGCAGCTAGATCTTCTTTCATTTCGTTCTGTTTGGAAATCCAAGAGACCCCCAAAATCTTCTTATCCCAAACAGCTAGAAAAGCGAGAGATTGCCACATCTCGGAGCGGAATGAAGATGGAAACAAGACTCAGTCCACCAGCCTGGCAACATAGATTTCTCCATGAATTACTATAAAGTGGCTCCAAACTAGCTGCCCGAAAAAGAAAAAAAGAAAAAACACACAAGAAAAGATATCTCAGTGTTGCTCAGGAAAAATCAATAAGTGGTCCCACCACTGGTCCCATCACATATGAAGATCAAAAGTGCGCTAATTTGTTTAATGTTTCAATAAACCTCATCGAAGCTCTAAGTCCATCCGTGAGTTTGGTCAAACGGTGCGCATTCTCCAGATTCACAGATTGAAGATGATTGGACATATTGCCCAAGCAGTTAGAACATACCCCTACAACCCCAACGGCCATCGACTTGTGCCATAAAAATACGGATGAAAGCGCATGCTGAAGGCTGATTGTAATTTGGTGCTGTCTGTGTTCTTTCCGTGGCACCGGTTTCTTCTTTGGGCAACGGAACAGACCCGCACACCTTTCTTTGAAGCCATCTCCTCGGTGCCCCTCTCCTGACAGAGAAACATCGCCGGGAAATTCCCCAAGAAACAATCGATATATCATATATTACAGTAAAGACTTAGATAGTTCAAGGTGAAATAGAGACCTGCAGGTGTTATATCATATATATATATATCGATCTGATCAGTTCAAGGTGAACAAGAACATCAAACAACACCTGCATGAGTCACTGCTGTAACTCAAAACAAAGACCTCCACCAAAGATTGATCGGGGCCAAAAATGTTCTGCTTTATGCTCAGTAGCCTATTGGTGAACCTCTACACCAGCCTGAATTCGTGGTTTGAAGCAAGCATCCGCTACCGTTCATTTCACATAGTTACAGTACATAGTTTGCAAATTCATACAAAAGCAGTTTGTTCTCTCTATAGTCACCGGTTTTCGAGATACATATCAATCAATCATGTCAAACATTTCTTTCATGCAATCACCCAACATCAGCCCATATCAGCGGTCTCAAGTCACACAAGAACAGTATGTTCTCCATAGCCACCAGTTTCGAGAGGCATATATATATATATATATCACGCAACATGTTCTCTTCACGCAGCGAACATCAGCCCAAAAATTGCAGTCGCCTGGCATCGCAGTCCCTTTCGCAACCAAAATCCTGGAACCCCCCATCTGTCTCTCTCTGGCGCGAGTTGCCGGGCCTCTTTGGGACGGAGGGCCACCAGCTCTTTCCCACCTTTCGTCGGCCCAGCGAACCCGGTTCTCCCGGTGAACAGCGGCGTTCAAGCGCTCGGAGCGGATTTGGAGGTTGCCCCTTACCCTAGGGTGACTGGATGGAGTTCGTACATGGGGGGAGATATCTGAGGGGCTGAAAGTAGCATCCAGGGTCCAATGTTTGATTAAACCTAAACGCTGTTGTAAAAAGAACTCTAAATGCAAAAAGCCAACTGGATCAAAGGAGCTTGGCCTCCCAGGCCCACCTCCTCCCAAGTTTTTTGACCCCATAATTCACTAAGAAAACCTTTTTCTAAGCCCATCAACGCCTCCCAGCAATATGTTGACTCACACCTGATTGTTGCAAGGCATCTCACGCAACCCATGTGAACCTGCAAAAGAGAACAGCAACATGCGTCAAAAAGGAAACCTAGAACCTAGTGCTTCTTGTACATAAACCTAAGAACCTAGAGCTTTTGTATATAACTTTATCCTTCGCTGTACATAAAGAGTCGAACAGATTTGGGGATGTTTGAGGGATTGCATTTGCGTAGTGCACTCAATTCTTTGCAATTGACTGTTTTTCTTTGGCAAACATTCTGCACCTCTTAGTTACCATAACAACTATGCCTCACAACCTCCAGGGCATTGGGGCCAACAGCTGTGACAGTCAGAGATCGAAACACCGAAGACTTCAAATAGAATATGCATGTGCGGACAATATTACTTGTGTGTAGCTAAAAAATCAGCCATTTGGGCATGATTGTCGTTTGCGGGGACCATATTGTTCTCTCTCTCTCACACCTACAACATCTTGGTCAGGTTTATGTTTTGCTTTTGTTGGGTGACTATATTAAATATATTGTTTTCTGTGGAAACAGTCCTGGGGATGATCATGGTCAGGCTGTGACTTGTGAACAGGTTCACATAAGTAGCCGCAATACATAGATTGCAATATATCCCAGGATGAGAGCGGAACTGCACAAGTAGCAGCTTGACTTGCTCACTCGCAACACCTGAGGTTAATCGTAGCAGTATTGAGTCATTGTTGATTGCTATACAGCGCCAGGGTAGTTACCGACTCAGCAGGTTCATTGGCAAGTTGGCTTTGTGCAAACAAATGGAATGGATATGGAATGGATCATTTCTGCGATTTTTGCCAGATTCCTGATGCCTCAGTGGAACATGTAGGAAATATGGGGTAGGTTGCAGGGATTTATGGTTTTAACTTTCTTAGAGTATAATGGTATAACTATATAAATACATATAAATACAGTACAAATATAAACCAACAACTTTGTCTGCTGCCATTGCTACATTTGGGCACGTGGGTGACTATCACATCTTTTCAGCTTCTCTTTTGGACAGTGCAAAGAAGTACTCACTTTAGAGATACACAACAGAGCAAATATTGAGCAAATACGTAATTGTGTGTATTGTCCCCTTTTACCCTTCTGGGGATACTTGGAACGAATAATGTTCTTCCTGGCAGGGAACCCCTGGCAGAAGAGCCTGCTCAAAGGAAGACTCTTATCTTTGGACCAATTCTCAAGTCTGAGTGGGGCTTCCCTCTCCACAAATGTTTCATACATCCATATCAACATCTGTCACCTCAAACCATCAACCTGAAATGAAGAACTCTCCAGTCCTGAATCTCTTGGTCTACTTTTGGTCTCTTCAACCCCCAACACTATCCAACACCCCCAACATCCCCAACCACTTCTTCCGCCTGCTTCGGGCCGCGTGGGCGCGTCCGCCCACTGCGGAGCGCCATCCAAGCTTTGGAAGAAGGCCTTGCCAAGGCCGCTGGGCACGGCAGCCGGCTCGCGCTCCGCTGGCGTGGCCGGCATGGCCTGCGTGGCCGGTGTGGCTTGCGTGGCCCGCCTGTGTTGAGTTCATGGAAACTCCTTGATGATAGTGAAAAGGACTTGCACACAATCCAAATCCAAAGGGGCTTTATTCATGAATCAAACACTATGGCGATTTCAATCTGCTTGAAACACGGCGTCCTTCATCTGCTCTCGCCCGAGCCACCCAAACAGTGGACCGATGGTGGAACAGTGTCGACTCGTGTCGACCATCAACGAATGGATCTCAACTGACGAGCATAAAACAAAACATCGAAACACGCGACGCCGGTGTGTATCTTAGTAGATCCCCTGGCCCTGGCTGGATAGACGTGTATGTTTCCCCTCTAGGAGGTCGAACAAGGTCGGTCTACCAATACGCCCACTGATGAGTGCTGACGAGGTATGTGATGAGCTGCATGGCACGAGGCAAACTGTGCCACACTGCGCCGCAACCTCCAACTTGGTTTCCAAGACCCAGAGCAACCTTTGACCAACCTTCTCAGATAAGAGAAATTCACTTGAGGTCCTTAAAGTTGGCAAACGACTTTCGCTGTAGCTTGCTCTCATAAACGAAAGTCAGTCATAACAAAATTAATATATAACTCAATGATACTTAGATAGATATCCTTAGCAGCCTTAGCATATATGTTAAACGTGGAAGCGCTCTATCCTAGTCGTTCGCCATCCCAGCGCCCCACGGCCACAGCCCCGCCTTGTGCTCTTCGCGTCGCGCGCCCCAGCGACGTGCCGGTGCCGGCGCGGACGCAGACGGCGGCGGTTCCTGGAAGATGGAGACTTGGACTGCGTGGGAGGGACGTTTACCTCTTAAAAGCCAGCTAGAAGTTGAAGGCTTTGGGATTCTGGAACTGCTCCAAATCTCGAAACTTCCAGTATCTTGCAGTACTAAACCTTGAATATCTTTGAATACAGCTCTCACAAACCTTATACGAGCAAGTTTGATGTGCCTCTGCTGCTGTGCCCTCGGCCCACTCTTCCCAACCTGAATGCGGATGTTTGAAACTTCGTTTGGAGGAGAAGCTCGTCTGAATCTCATCAACATGGAGAACCGATCTTGAAAGGACACATTACGAAAATCATGACACCTTGTTACTAGTAGTAAGGCACTTGTTTCTAATAGCTTTTTTGTTACTACTAGTAAGGCACTTGTTACTACTAGCGTGGCACCTGTTACTAGTAGCTTCTTGAATCCAGAAACATTGGTTCCAACACATCGGCGAACCGCGCCAAGAAAGACATGGATCCTGGATCCCATTGCTCACCCCATGGGTGTGGAAGATGCAGCATATAATGTTGGATCCTATCAAATCCCACTTGCCGTCGGAACTCCTACCTGCTAAAGCTTCGTGCTTTCACCATATGGAAGAACAGCTACAGTATAACCCTCAAACCCTGGGTTACAGGGGTGATCTTCCAAGAACAGGTATTATATGTGTTTTGCTTGTGAAACTGTCTGGTGGGCAAAACATATATACACGTTGTTATGTTGTTTTCCTACATTTATCATACTATTGGCCATTCAATGTAGAAACATATAATACAATAAGCCACCAGTCACCCAGAAACAAATCACCAACAATGGGCAATACTTCATGGGTTGAAACATTTTCAACCTGCAGAATATGCGACCAGTTCCCATGCGTGCACGGAACTTATGGATGTCTATATATATATATACACTTGCAACCCCTCAGCCTGTTCAACACCAGGGCCTCCTAAATGTCGATAGTCCCAGCTACTAGGGATGTGAGTGGTGTCAGTGTCAATGCAAACATTCTTCGGCCAGCACACATGTCTAGAGATGTGCCCCTTGAGCAACTGAAAACGATTGAATTTGGGGGGGCCATCCCAATAGAATGGTGAATGGTTATACAAATGGATCAGAATTATCACTCCCTAGGGGTCCACATACCTCCCACAAGGTACTTGGACCCACCAAGCCTATATATATATATATATAAGTATAAGTGTCTCCGATCACCCTCTCAGAGGGTATGTAGATCCCTAGGGACTGCCACAGTGGCTGGATTGCATGCTTTTGATCACTGCCTTCACAGAAGGCCCACTCAAAACAGCTTGCGACGTCCTTCTCTTCTTGGGGAAGGAGTAGAGGAAACCGATGGGGAAAGCGATTGCCAAGGGTCTGGAGCTGTGTTTTAAAGGGTGATTTGGTGTCGAAACGGTGAAGAAACATGTCAAACATCGAAACATCTCATTCATGGTAGAGATGATCATGCAAATGAGATTATCATCCATGATCATAGATGACTATCGCATCCAATAAGACCCCTGAAATTATACAAGACATACAATACACATAAAAATTGGATTTGTTGAAGGAACTGAGAAGAAACAACCATATTCCACAGAAGGGGGGTGCACCCTGTTGAAAGATTAAGAATCGCCAATGCGCAAAACCAAGCAAGCACTTCTTTCTTGGTCGTCCGGACAGCGGGAGCAGTAGAACTCCCCGTCCTGCGGACGACAGACAGACGTCTCGACGTCACATGTAGACCGATGTGCGTGGGTTCAGCTGAGCGTGGAACCCTTGGCGCCCCTAGGGGTTCTAATACTTTCCCAGGGAGTCAGACTGGGGCGTCGCCCTATTCTACACAAGGCTTTGAGTGTTCCCCACCGCCAAATACTTAAAAGACTCTAAGTAGGCAAATACGATCTACATCCGGGTTGTGTAAAGGCATGAATACCTGGGACAGGCGACAGGAAAAGGGTCACATATTGGCCTCTGCTGTGAGTCAAAGCCTGCCCCCACAAAAAAGGGCCAGTTGACTTCTCTGCTACTTCGTTCGTTTTCACCTGTCAAGCCCAGGTCTGCGGAGTCACCCATGAGTCTACCTGTCAAGCCGACTTAGGTGACTGTGAGTCAAAACTAAAGAGACCTTAGTCAACCACCCCAAATGAACCAACAAAACCATGAAAACACACAACCTACTTCATTCTTGGGGTCCAGGTATCGACAACAGGGATTGGGGTGGTCTAAGTCCACGCATTCGATTGGTTTTGGCATGTTTTGGCTACCCAGATCAAACCACCCATCTTCGCCTCGGCCAACTCCGCGTCGCCGGCGGCGCCACAAAAGGAGCACGCCCCCGGCGCGTCGTCGTCCTCGTCCTCGCGGAAGGGCTCCCTCATCGGTGCACCCGGGGGGTTTGCCTGTAGATATGAAGGTAGGGGGTGATAGTTGTAGGTGATGTGTTGGGTATGTAAAATGTATTTGCCAAAACGGGTGTGACACACCACTCATCAAATTAGCAAGTCAATCTGGGTCAAAAGGCCACGGCTCAGGCCGAATTGGATGATGTCCCTGGCACACATTGGGTGGCCATATTTGGTTTGTTCCCAACCAGGCGAGGTACAGGCTTTTGAAAACTCATGACAAGAATGAAGAAACACCGAAAACTCATCGACATAATACAACACAGTCCTCTAGTTTGAGGCTCCATGCTCGGCTTTGACCCCACAAGAGCTCATCTCTTGAACAACTGACAGTTGAGACCCCCCCAAGAAGACCTGAGCCTACAAAGAGGATACCAGCCCCATGGTTTTAGAGGTGTTCAACTGACTGTTCCCGGAAATGACCAGTCCAAGCTGGTCACCAAACAGACAGCGTTGACCACCACCCGAGTCACCCGAATCACCAAAGTCCGGTGCCAACATGCCGCCATGTGTCCGGAGATTCAATCTTTCGCGTGGAGAGCCTTTATGCACCCCCCAAAAAAACATGAGATGTGGGCCGATGTGTGTGTTGATTCGTAGTCGTAGAGTCTATGAAATATTTTTGCCAAGTCATTGGGCATCAGGAATCTACTTGGGTATCAGGAATTCTATGACTAATTAGAGGTGTATCTAGGAATCTACTTGGGAATCAGGATGTTCTAGGAATCTACTTGGGTGTTTTGAACGTCTACCCTGTCCTTCCACAACCTTTAAAATTAAAGGGTCTGACCAAAGACCCGAGGTTTCAACATGAAACCCGAGGTTTGCATTTCCAGACTGAAATGATAACTGTGGTGCTTCTTGCCGCTGCCGTTTTGCACGCTCACCAAGCCCCTTGAGGGCATGTTTGAAACGTGTAGCAGCACGTCAAAAGGTCAAGCGGCAATCACCTTATTGGTCTGGTGGTCTATATGGAGGTAGCAACACTTCAAAAACATATGAACCCGCATGCACTTGTGCGAAAAAAGACATCCCGTTAAGCGTGCTCAACCTCACAAGCGCACAACATACCCAGCAGTGACCCATTGGGCATAAGCTGCCTGAAGGTAACGGTCCATGACCCTATACAAAACTGGACCATGCGTTCCAACTCGGCGTGAGAGCCTGCTGGGACGCCCGATGAAATCCTCCGATTGCTGTGTCGAGTAACACAGTGGGTTCATGATTTTCTTCTGGTCCAGTGTCAAGTGGTGCCAGCTATGGATCTTGGGAAGGAGCACGAACAATGATTTTGATGCCGCTGAGGCTTCACTTGCCAGCTGCCCATACCTCCTTAGGAAGCGCATCGACAATTCACCGATCAGCTTGCTCTCGTTGGGATCCAGCCATGCACCTGCTCTGTACATGGTCCATAAACAGGTCTAGATGCTGTAGCAAGCCTGGGCTGCTTTCACCAACATCGGCTCATCTTCAAATGCCTCTTCACCCATTTGCTTGAAGCGCCACTCCAAGAACTCCATGCGGACGGTGGAGAGCTCTCCCTTATGCCAGCTGCCGTTGGGGTAGACCCTAGAAGAGCTCCACCCCAGCATTTCTTTGCTGAGCACCCTGCAATGGGATCTTCGCTTGAACCTTGAGCACCAAGCTTTGAACTGTCTGCTGAGCAGATCGAATCGACGATCCACCAATCCAGCGCACTCTTGCTCTGCAAGCAAAACCAATACTGACCCTATGTAGGATTTCGAGACTCCCAAATGCCACGTGTGGAAGACGTTCCACTTGAACAACCCCGCTCCTTGAGAAAGAGAGTGGGGAATGTTGAGCAACGGGGAGCCTTCATCGCGGAATGGGGAAGATTGGTGCATCGACTGGAGCCAATCTGGTCGCCTCGTCTCAATTTGCTCGAAGTTGTACCTTCGGCGGCCTGCTTCACAAAGGTGGCAGATGCCACCTTTGTTGTCATCCACAGCACCGGCCCTTATGTGTTTTTGCAGGTTCATGTACGACCGGTTCATGTCTCCGGCCTTCACCAGCCACGGCCAGTCCCCACAAACGCCAATCACCATTGCCCAATGCCGCAAACCTGATGCCTCATCCAAGACGCCCCGACGACAAATTTCCACAGAGTCTGTGGCCAGACCTTGCATGAGGCTTCGGAAATTTGATTCGTTGTCTCCCGTGTAGTCGGCTTTCCTGCAAGCAGCGTAGAGGAATCGATTTGTATAGGAGTGCCCCTTGAAATTGGGCAGCATCTTGATGTAATGCTTGAATTGGCTTTTGGCATTCTTTGAACCCGAACGGTTCCTATTGCAAGCAATTCCTCGCCCCAAAGGGCTGAAAAATGATATGTCTAAAAACGGTGAGTGCTTGCGAGATCTGCCCTCGTCTCCGTGGAGCAGGAGCGGTGCTACCCGACCCAACACTACCTCTCCGTTTCGGGCGAATTCGAAGATTGGATGGTTTGGGTCCTGCTGTTCATAGCTTTTCCAAAAATGAGTAAATATCAATTCCTGTCTCTTCTGGTCCGGGGCTTGTAGCCCACTGAGGATGTGCCAGGAATTGTTCCGGAGCAAAAAAGCACACCAATCTGGAATCCTCAATGTGGGAATATCCGTCTGCGGATCTTCTGTTTTCAGCTGTGATTTGGGAACCTGAAGTGCTAGCCCAAATTTTTTCACTATGGTCCGATGGCAATCTCTCTCTGAATTCTTGGGCTGACAACGAGCTAGGTCATTCAGACCACCGGACAACTCAGCAGCTTCAGGGCCCACATCTTCCACAATGGCGCGGGCAGCGTCGATAGCTGAGGCGCACGAGGCCTTGGCAACGGCCCAAGAGTGGCTTTGGTAAGTTTGAAGATGGTGCTAGCGATGGTTTGTTTCAAGCTACCTTTCAAGAAATCATACGGAAGCTGCATTCCACCTACTCAGGACAGTGCACTGTGCACATTTTTCCTTCTAATTCGGAGCACGGCGTGGAAAGAGTCAACTATATATGCACATGTCTACTAGCTTAACACGTAACAGCGTGCGCTGGCTTTTCAAGCCATGCCAGAAGACCTGACTTGAATTGGACGAATAGCAGGTGGGTGCTTGAAAGACCTGTACACAACATATGTGTAGTACACGCTCTCACCACCATCGCTCAGTGAAGCTTGCAATGGCGGCTTCACATTGTCTCCACCAAGTCTAACGTTTTTGCACCCTGGCCGACCTTATTTATAGAGCTTGCAGGATGTCAAAGCTCAACGGATGAAAGCCTGAAATCCTAAAGAAAAACACAAACATCGACTCAAAACTTGCAAGTTGTTTGTGATAACCCATCTTTCAAGTTTAGGGACTTTGGTATTGGTGGATCAGCGCTGCTTCGAGCATGGCAGGAGTAAAGGGCTCATGTGTTTCGCAAAGAATCACCATGTTGGACCACTTTTCCTTGTCCTTGCTATAGCCGTAGATAGGGCTGTTCCAGCGCCAGCGAGGGTTGTGGGTGAACCCGGTTTTGAAAATCATGGGGTCATTCTTTTCAAAGTGGAGCCCAACACTTGGTTCGCATGTTGGAGAATGCTTCCAGCTGAAGCCCCCGGCTTTTGGGTCTTGAACACAATGGGGTCAATGTTCTTGGTGATCCGGGATTGAACGTCTTCCAAGAATAAAGTCTTGCTTGAAGCGTTGGGTTCTTTGTCTTGGCACCTGCTCCACTGGTCTCGGTTTCCAAGATCTGCAAGCGCTTTCCTTCCAGTAGAATCGTTGACAGAAACCTGAGGCGAACCAGCGTCACAGCGCTGACTACTACCGCTCCTTGTCCACGGAAGGGGATAGACGTGTTCCTGCTTGGCGCTGGATGGCCCGTTTTGGGAAAGGAAAACGGTTTTATATTTGAACATATCAATACTTCGATCTTGTCTATGAACCTGAACCGTCTTGCTTAATTATCATTGACAGATCGAGTCGCTATATACTAGCTTCGAAACATCTCGATCAAAAGATGCACCATACAAGCTAGGTGTCAGTTCGATGGCGCGTCAATAGATCCCAGAGTTCATCATCCGAGCTGTCATGGCCCGTGGAGGTTGAACCCGTATTTAGAAACACGGTCGGCGGGTGCATCTTTGCCGGGCCAAAAAAGAGCTTCAAGGTTCTCAAGTTATTGCCGCACCATGAGTCCCAGTGAAACCAATGCCACCCTCAAGTCTTGAGACACTTGGAAGGCTTGAGCTTCGGACGCCTTCTCCAATCCGCTGGGACATAGAACGGAGAAGCTTGCCTGGGCGGACACCTGGCCAATCCATACCGTGGTGAGTTTTGCAGATATGTTGTGCTCCTACAGCTGCCTAGCGCACAGTTTTGTCTGCCATTGAAAGAGCCCGCACTCCACTCTCGAGCTGCGGCGAAAGCCACATGTGTAAATTAAGTATCTCAGCCGTTCATCCGCTGCTTCTTATATAGCCTATTAGACAATGTCAGCTATAGAAAACAGCCATTGAAGTGTGGTCATGCCCACATAAACAGATGCACACGTGTACAAAACAAAGGCAGCATCGACTGAGATAAGCTAAGTACCCCAAAAGACACTAATTTGTGAAAGGTAGTCATTCAGACTACTTTGCCTTTTTCTCTTTCTTTTCCTTGCTTGCTTTCTTTTCCTTGCTTGCTTTCTTTTCTTTTTCTCTTTTTTGGGTTTGGTTTTGCCGCCATTGGCAGCGTCGGCTTCACGCTCACCCTCCTCCTTCTTCTGGTAGAACTTCTTGGCATTCCTGGCAAAGTATTCAGACTTGTTTTTTTTGTGGTTTTAATATATCAACCTGGTTTCCAAGAAAGCTTCATTAAACCATATAGAGATCGGTGCGCGCGTGCGTTTGTGAAAGACTGATTGAAATATAAGGAAAGGCCTGGCTTTCATCTCCGTTGCGCTCGCTGCAGAGCAACTCAGTTTCAGCGACGCGGGAAGAGATGGACACTTGGCAACAAAGAAAGGTAGCACCAGGTCTCTGACACCCTGGTCGCCTCTCGCATGCGGGTTTCAGCCATTTCGTAGAACCTTGTTCAACATGGTCACACATGGTCCATTTAAGGTCTTGTGTTCTTGTTCTTCAATTAGGAAGTTCTGATCAAGCAATGTGCATGCACATGAAATCTGAGAGAAAAAACCCCTCGGTAAAAAATCCTTCAGCTTCACCTTTGGTCCATGCTTCGGTGCACGAGTCGTAGTGATTGTCAATCTTCGCGATGTCCCCCTTCAAGGACTCCTTACCTTAAAGTGCCGAACACGGTTTTGACAATGAAACGGTAAATTCAACGGTGTAGCGCACAAACTTGCAAGCCACAAGGAGTCAAAAACACTACGCCAAAACATGAACCCAGGTGCTGTGGAAACTTCCACTCTCCTCACTTTCATTTTTACAAATCCAAGTAGTTTACGGATTGCCCATGCACTCTCGATGACGATGCTTCCGTTTTCGGCTTGATCTCCAAGCTTGTTTTTCCGAAACAATCCTTCAACCTCACCCCTCAACTCATCAATCAATGGTAGGGACCTAGTCTGCATCATGCCCATCCTGGTAAGAAGAGGCTGGAGCAAGGTAGCGTTCTTGATGCACGTTGGTATGTCCTCTGATGGGCTAGACTTTGGGTGCATCAATACACCGTCATTCCGCATCCGATCACGCACCTCATCGCTCTGGTCCCACTCGTGCATGACGTCACGAATCTCCAGCTTCTCTTTGGGTTGGCGGGGACGGCCAGGTGGTTTGCCACCCTTTCTGCTCCCCATGAGCGTGCAAACGTTGACAAGAAATGTCAGGAATGCGGAAAACTTGAACCCAAAGGGCTACACCGTTGATCTATACTCAATCGGTCATGCAATGTGTTTTTTCTGAAGCTGATTGCACCCCGCACTCTTGGTCAGCCCCTTCTTCCAGGACTGAGGACGCTGCATTGGATCAGCGTCGAACTCGCCGGACAAGAAAAAGATCTGGATGATGGGCGGTGAGATGTGTGGACCCTGGAGACCATCTTACCTCATGATTTTATTGGACCATGTTCAACGGAACTTGATAGGACACCCTCTCAGTGGTTCCCGACCTTGTTGGTGAGGATGTTAGACAATTTAAGATCTAACCGCGTTCCGCCGGAGTCCCCCCTGGAGCATGAACAGCCGGTCACCTGTGCAGCGGGGCCGACGAAGGACGTGGTCAGAAGCTATGAAAACCTGGATTTCAAGGATTATATAGAAAACCCGAGGTTTTTAGTGAAAACCCGAGGTTTGAAGTAGATCATTGCCCAAACGCGAGGTTCTCCTGAGAAACCTTTATTTTTATAGGGTTCGGGTGCGTAGGGTATTCACATCAAAAGAGGTGTTTCTGGGGCGGTCCATCGCCTTCACTCGACCGTCATGGACCCACTGTGGGTCCGGCACTGACAGAAAGAGCACCGATTGATGATGTCCGGACCAATTGGTATGTTCAAGGGTTGGATCTATCCTATTACCAGTGACACTGGATGATGATGATTATAGTTAAGGCCGTTCTCTAAACGCGTGATCATTGTTGGCTGACTGTTACAGGTAAAAGGACAACCCCCATTGCCAATTCAACGGGTTTTGGGGGTATTGTGAAGCAGGAACCACATGGGCAAGTCCAACATATTCCAACACATCATAACCCATCGGATTTTGGGGTCCAGGCGGCGCTGTTTTCTGTTTTGACCATGCCCACATGGCCGCCTCTTCATTGCATTCTCGTAGAGGCTCCGGCCCATAAGATCGCTGGATAGATCGCTGTTTTCTTTTTTCAGTTCTTTGGCGGGGTGCGTGAGGGTCCGAGTTGAAGAGGGTGTCAGACGGGGGTCGATGGTCCGCGACCTTGGCGCAGGAGCCCCTAGTAGCTTCTTGTTCCTAGTAGCGATGCCCGGAGCCCCTAGTAGCTTCTTGTTCCTAGTAGTAAGGCCAGGAGCCCCTAGTAGCGTCTCATCTCTATCGTATCCCACTCTGTTCCAAGCCACTTCTGATCACTGCGGCCGCCCTGTCCTCCCAGTACTCGCCGTACTCCTCGTCCTCCCAGTCCTCCTCCCATTCATCTTCGTCCACCTGCGCCCCGATCTGAAAGCCTTTCGGGCCCAGTCAGTCAAGCTGATAACATCTGATAACTATATCATACTGTAACTCGAAGTTTAGGCTCTAAACATCAAGCAGTTTGAGGGTCAAAATCAGCAATTTCACAATGCTGTGAGGCATTGTCGGCATTGTGAGGCCCCGTTCTTACATTTTCATTCGGACAAGCTAACGTTAGTAGAACTCCGGGTCTTTTTGATGTACCGGATTGGTATTTTCTGCTTGCTGAAGCCAGATCTTTCCTTCAGGACCGCCGCTTGGGGCATCGGCCGGTCCGCTGCCTCGGCAACCCCAGCATCCGCACAGTCGTAGTCCAGGTCATCTTCGTCTCAGAAAACCAAGGACTCGACTTGGGCAAGGGGGACCACCGAGCGACTTGGTGGCACACCACCGCCCACCGGGTGAAGCCAAACGGGGCAAGATGCAAGAGAACCAGTGGACCAGTCGACCGAACAGTGGTCGAACAGCAACTTTGTTCGACATTGACGAAAAGGAAGTGAGCAAGGAAGTCGCAGCCAAACAACAGCTTTCTCAGTATAGAGGTAGCGTGATGTCGGGATGTGTTTGGGGCAAGTACAGGCACTAGGAATGTTGCTAAATTATCTATAATTCCTCAACTGTTCACAGTTCAGGATGTTTACTTACTTCACATACTTTGGTCTCGTAACCGGAGACACTGGTTTCTGCAAGGGATTTCCTCAAAAACACCGTTGCTACACAACCCAGCTACCATGAGCTACCTCACCGGGCGGTCCAGGTCACTGACATCACATCTATTCCTTTCGTATGCTGGTCTTGCTGCAACACACCTCACAGACAACACACATGCCTCATCACAAAAAGCGAACAAACCACTGGACTTGCTCTGCCATGAGTGGGTGCTGTGCTCCAAAGATGCCGGAGTCTTGCTTATTCTTGATATCGCATTGCAAACTATACAGTATTCGTCGCATGTTCCTTCTGGAAACCTCTCCATCCTCAGATTCTCCTTCCGCCGCGCCCGGCCACGCCTTCCGCCGTTTTGCTGTCCGGTCGCGCAAGCAGCGCCTCCAGTGCGCGCGAGGCCTGATGAAGCAGCGAGGAACGTGGGTAAGTTTGTGGTCGAGATCGGTGAGCTTTTCGTGGATTCTGGCGGCCATCGAAATGGCGGGCCATAACAACAAAACACATCATTCAGAAAGAACAGATGGTCTCATATTAATTGGTACTATCGCTTTTCCTAAACTGTCTCAATGAATGAACGTGACACTGAAAGCGACCCAAGTTGGGAGAGGAACAAGGGAAGCCCCCATCTAGCTGTTGCCACGGTGCCTAAGGGGAAGTGGATCTTGAAAGCAAGCAAATGAAATGGAAGCATCCGGGAATCCATCGTGTAGGATTGACTCAGAGTCGCTTCCACCTGAGAACGCCCACGTCGTCGTGCGAATGCACCAGTCCGCGAGCAGCTCCATCGGTCTATCGGTCCGGCGACCGCAGGAACCTGATGGGAACTCCCTGCGAAGCGTAGCAAGGCTTCCTCCACGGCCTGAGCGAGGGCGGGGGCCCACAGACCTTGAAGCAAAGGGTCTTTGTATGTTTTGGATGGCTGACATGTTAGCTTGAATTTTGTCCGTCAGTCAGATTCCTCTTCCACGTAGCGTTTTGTGTTGCTTCCTTTTCCATATGTTCACTCTGTCTTTCCTTTTGAAGGAACACCAAGCTATCCTCGGTAATGCTTTCCTCTTTCTTGCAGGAAGTCGTTTTGATCTTTTCTCAAAGGAACCGTTGCAAGTCCACCGTGCCGTGTCTGACCGGAATATCCAACGCACACACGCCTTGGGTTCTTCTGGGAACATCTCGAAGAGGACTGCCTGCGGATGGTGTCTTCACATCCGCAAAGATAGACAAGGGTCGTACATCATCATAGAAGAGACTAGTCGCCCTCACACCAACATGGGCACTGCAATTGCTTAAGCCGGGCGACATAGCCACCCCCCATGATCCTTGCACATCAGTTAACATGTATCAACACGGGCTGTTAAAACACTCGGACAAACATCCGGCTCACTTGTGGGGGCACGTGAAGAACATATCCATTTCTGAGAGGCGGTTTCCCTTGAATTGCCGACGGCCAACAAATTGCATCAAAATTGCCTTCCTGGTCTAGTTCTGGAACCTGTCTGAAATGCATGCATAATAAAAGTCTCCAATTCCATTCTTGGGAAACTTGTTCGCAGCATTTCGCATTTAAGACTGTGTAATCCTCAGAAAGCGCCCCGTATGCCAAAACACACTGCACCGATGTTGATTTCCCTCCAAGACTTGCAGTCGTTGTGTTCATGAAACAACAACCCGCCGCGCAAGGATCGACGCCGGGTTGAAAAGCCAAATATTGTTTGATATTGAAAATGGATTGACCACATGACCCCAAACGACTTGATGATTCATCCGTTCCATTTCGTTGCTTAACCACATGGATCCCAAACACCATGGCCGAGCCTCATGCAAATCCTCCAAATGCTCCTCGCCTGTTCAGGTGTTGAGAGGGCGCCGGCGCAGACAAGACTCTTACCAACCGCATCCAACATGTCAGTCACTGTGCTCTGTCTTCATGTACAAACACAACTGCAAAGCACAAAACAACGGTTAAGCGCCTTGAACAGGCTCGGAAGGCTCTGCCAAAGGCTCCTTCTCAAGGAAATCCTGCCAGTCAACTGAAAACACCTCTGGCAGTCTGCTGGATCCCTTGGTTATAGTTGCTGGAGGCTGCGGATGGCCAATCTACTATGAAAACTGTCACGACGTGCGTTCGCACAATTAATTTGTGGGGCTTGGACACCTACTTTTGTGCAGGGGTTGGTTCTTTAATGGAGTCGCAAATGGAGCTAGGATATCATACATTAATACGGAGTAGCGAGCACGGCAAACGTCAGCTCCATTCAATTGAACACTAGTACAATGCACAATTGTCATCAATTGTCTACAGTTCCTGTCAATCCAAGTCCAGGCATGGTGGATCTCTGCGCCCATAAGAGTCCGATCATCAAAGCCTTTCCCCACATGCTGCCGTGCAATTCAATCCAGATCCCTCCCCTGTGCCACGTCAGCCTGCACGATGCTATGGGAAGACGGTTGAAAGGCGTTCATGGCGTTGCGGAGTTTGGTTACACAAACAAAGCCATGGCAACAAGTGGAGCGAGGGAGTCTTTGTACAATAAAAAGCACTCATTACAGCCGTAAGACGGCGTACTTTAGTTGAACCTGGAATATTACTTTGAACACTTTCCAGAAATCCAACCGTATACATCTCAGGCAAACAAATCAATCTCCATGGTGTGGTGCTCATCACCTGCAGGTGACGCCAAGCTTCCTCGCGGCTCTCATAGGCAGCTTCTGCCTGCCACCAGGTTCTTCGTGCCCCCCTCTCACAGCAACATGGGCCCTCTCTACCGCGGCTGAAGTGGCGGTTGTACTGCGGAAAGCGATCCAAAGCAGGTGGAACCGCAATGATCGTCAGTCCGTCCAGGCCAGCTGCTGTCAGCTGTGACGCCCAGCCCACAAGTGATCTTGCAATCTTCGGTACTTGGCCACCTTGCACGTCCAGACCTTGACATGGAGGGCTTGCCTGCAGCTCCGCTGGATACCCTTGAATGCCGCACACAGCGGACATCTGCAGGGAGAACATTGGATTTGGAGTCACTTCTCTTGCTCGTGACTCAGATCCAAAATGTCTGAAAACTTAGTATCTCAATGTATCTCATGTGGTTTAAGGCGACCAAAACATCCGGACACCCCATATTCCAAAGGTCCCTTGGGTTCTCAAGAGGCTTCTTTTTACACCCCTCTACCTTCCAGGTCCCCTTCCTTCCAACCAAGTCTCGGATCGGCCTTCGATCCACAATCCGAAGACACCGAAGCCTTCGATGGTTTCACACCCGGACCCCCTCCTCCAGAAGCCTTTCCTCTTTCGCTGCCTGAGATGGGTTGAGAACACAGCCGCCCCTTCTGAGATCGACTTGAAAAGACAGCTCGATTCGAGTCGAAACGTTTAGACGCGAGTCGACAGGAAGTCAACAGGTGAGCAATCCAGAGGATGCTGATACCATCTGATACTCATCAAATAGAACACATCACAAATATCATCAAATAGCAAATATCAATATACTACCATAAGCTCTCCGTTTAGGAATCCTTCGCAGGCTGGAATGTTGGATAGAACACTTGAAGGATCTTTCAATTGAGCTAGGACCACACACTTCACTTGCTGCATGACGCATCAATGACACTTCACCCCTCCGAAGAAGACAACTTGAAGCAAACACCTTCTTGGGATCCTCCACACAAAGTGTGAGCAATTCTCCTGCGGCGTTCACTTTGAGCCCTCATGGAACATCAAAAACATTCAAAAACCCAGACCTTCAAGATGTGCTCCCGTGTTTTTCCAGCAATCTTCCTAGACACTCCACGTTTCTCTCTTCCCACTGGGTCTCCCTTCCCATCTGCTGTGCCTTTTCATCGGTGCGGATGAAACCCCCTGGGTCTCCCCAGCCGCACGCCGTTGCCGCCGCTCGTCATTGCGCGTGGACGGCCGTAGGTTCTTCCGGGGTGGAAGAGGCTGCAACGACCCCAGCGCCTGATGGAGGGGCACGAGGGCGAGGGCGAGTGGATCGGATTTTCGACCGAACAGTGGAGGCCGAGAGGCCAAAGTCTGTTGGGGGTTCATGACTATGCAAGGGGGCATGTTGAATATGGTTGGACACCCTAGCTGATACTTGGGTGAGCATGAACAAAGAAACCTCCCTCATGGCCCGTAGGCATGCTTTCATGCTTCAGAAATGTTCTGCATCTCACTAGTGCCACTGATGTCTTGCACTTCCCATATTTGGGCCACAGCTCTTGGGTTCTGGCCAACTGCAAAAAAGAGAATCCTGAAGATTCTTTCACCAAAGGCATGCGGAGCTTGTCAACCTGGATTTGCTCTTTGGATCTTGACCCATCGCGATGGCACAGCACCTCTGACTTCTGGGACAGCACAAGAAAACCCTCAAGTCAAATAAGACTCGGGAGCAAAGCTGGCTGTTAACAAAACAACTCCTCCACCTACCACAACCGGCGTTCTGGTGGTTCTATCTTTCTGCTGTTTCTCACACCGTGCTGCCCCTGCTTCGAAGCTGAAGGCTTATCCTGAACCCATCCAACTGCCTGTTTCTTTGCAGGCACACCTGGCAATTCACGTCGGAAGCAGGAAGTGTTTGGGGGGTTGACAAGCTTTATGGTTGTATATATATATTTTTATATTTTTATAGTCATTAGCTTTATACGTCCTACAGTAGTTCATAGTAGTTCTAAGCGGGGCCCCCGTGTCCCAATAACCCACGTATACCCACGTCCTCATGCCCGTCTGAACATGGAACAGTCTCTGCCAAAAATGGGTGACAGCCCCATGCATTTTTGGCTTAGCATATCTGGAGGCCAATCTAGCCACTCAGTGCCAGCCAGTTTAGTATATGTGGTTGGTCTGTTTCAGAGGTGGTTATTTCCTCTCCAAGTTTGATGGGCGAGGATTCCTGCAGACACCCCTCAAAATCACGAGTTCTCTTGCCCTGCTGAGTGACGGATTCTGCCCACTGCCCACCGGAAAAAAAATGACTCATTGAACAACCTGTCGGTCTGTTGGGGGCCAGCATGAAGTTTGTTTCCTTCTTGAGTTGCGTTGAGCCGTGTCATTCTCGCGTGAGCAGCGCTCTTTCTGGAGCGCTCTTTATTTTTTTTCGCCGAAATAGGCAAATCAGGGAATTGATTTGAGAAATGCTCCGCAAGGACATGTTTTTGGGAGTCATCGGGTTGGTTTGGGGATCGTGTAGCCAAACAAAATACACATCTTAAATACTCCATTTTATCATATCTCATATCCAAACAACTGCCTATATCCCTGGAAAAGGAGGTCTCCATCATCCTCACATGGTATGGGATCCATGTCCCAGAATATCAGAATATCCTATAATAAGCACCCAACTGTTCCAGAAACGTGTAGTTCTCCTACAAACCGGAGCTTCATGGGCTGTGTACAGCAGCGCTAATTGAGTACTCCAGCTGCCATGCGGCGCTCCTTTTCTCCTTCTCTACTGGGGTTTGCCGCAGGATGAGTTTTCATCCAAAGATTCGCCTCGCTCGGGTGCCAAAAACTTCCTCTTGAAACGGGTTGAGGAGCACCTGGATCGTGACAAATGCAGCGCTTGGTTGAGGACTTGGTCACATCAGTTTTGCAACTGTCCCAATTTAAAGCTCTCCACATCCGTCAAGCGAACAAACCAACGGATCCATTGTTGAGTTTTGAGTGAGCTAGGATGACAAGGTATTTGTTTTCTATCAAATTCCATCGTCAGCACCAGTTGTTCGCGTGGGTACAGCCGTAAAATGGACTGGCGCACTGATGTGTAGGCGTCGGCGTTGGGCCGAGCAGCGCACGGTTTTTTGCTGTGTCGAATTTACGAGTTTGCACTGAGCTGTAGTTGTCTCATGCTTTCTCTTATGATCATTACGGCATTATGGTGTTTGTATGTTTCCTTTTTGTCAGATTCGGGCTTCAACCTGCAAAGCTCAGGAGTGGTTCAAACTCTGATGTAGGCAGTGCTTTGAAGTAGAGAAAAGGAGCAAAACGGCACTTGAACAGCGCTTTGAGGGTGCGAAAAGCTGAGCAACCACGTAGATTCGCCAGGGGTGTGAAGTCCTCAGCCAACAATACTTTAAAGACTTCATGCGTTTCAAATTGTCATGTGATGGGCTAAGCAAAGAGTTCGCAACATCTGCAAGGATGTGCTTAAAATACTTCTGACTTTGCTGCAACTAACTGCTC